ATCATGCATTGGCCGATGCAATTATATCATACGGATTGGGGGTTTACGGTCTCGCTTTTCCTACGTACTTAAATAAAATAAAAAACTTACAAATAAGATTATTAAAGTTATTAGTTAATAAAAAACGTTAAAAATTCACTCAATCACGAATATGAAAGGCTGTTTAAGATATGTAAAGTTCTCCCGGTAGATTTTAAAGTAAAACTGCACATCTTATGTGAACAAATTAACAACAATCAGTATAGGCAAGAAAAGGATTATATATATCCAATTCGCTCAACAAGAAAGCCAAGTCTTGTAATTCCTAGAGTAAAAAATGTATATGGTAAGCGGGAACGACGCTGGATTGCACCGGCCCTAATTAATGAATTACCACGTAACACTTATTTAGAAGCAAAAAATAAAAATGACCTGAAAAACAAATTAATAAAACATTACCTATCCCTATGTCCGTAATTAGTAAACTCTGTAGTGTCACACACAAGTATACACACACACACACACATACATACACGCACAAACATAACACACACACACACGGAACCAAGTAAATTGATATTTATTTTATTTTATTCTAACTTACTACTAATACTATAAATTGATAAACTTATATATTATAGGTACTTATAATTAAGAAATTGTATTTAGATGTATATACATATCATACATAGACATATATATATATATATATATATATATATATATATAGATATTATACATAGGTGTCATATTAGTAAGGTTGAAGTACATCGATGTAACTATTCACGAGAACTGCTGCCGACAAACTGCATCACAGTTTGTCAGAGAATAATTTATGTTATTGTACTTTATTACTGGATTAAATAAATTAAAAAAAAAAACTTACTAACGCTTGAGTTTAGTGTGCGTCTTTGGCCTTTGGTCAGTGTTCTGGCAAAGATGTTGTTACTCTCTATGAGCTGGAAAGTTATTATCGTATCTCCTACGAAAATTGATATGCTGCCTCTGTGGTTTACCTTATTTCTACACTTCAGTGTAACAAACGCGATCTGCATTTTCTACACCGATTCACATTTTTTCTAAATGTTAAGATTAGAAAGAGATATTGAGATCAAGTTATCCATCGTCGTATTAGCAACTTCGGAAATTTGCAAAATATCTTGAACTTTTGCCAAGAAACCTGTTTAGTTATTTTTAGCTATTGGCAATAAAATAATTGCAGATTTCACTCAAATAAATTCGTGTAATTGGGCACTTTGTAAGGATAATTGTACAAGTATTATAAATCAGTTGGTATATAAGTTTGTTTGTTCACTTTATCCCGTGATGGCTCAACGGATTTGAATGAACGCGTAGGTAGATAGCATGTAAATAGCACGATTCCTAATCTAGATTAAACCGATTAAAAAGTAAATATTTATAATTATGATACTTTTTTTTATACCGTTATTCCTTTTTATTTTGTAAAGGATTACGCGTGCGTTGCCGTGGGTAAAAACGACTTTGAAATGTTGTTCATTTATGGGTCTGGTAGATTTTATAGATAAAAATTTAGCTTTTAAAGTATCTTTATATCCACAAAATTCAAAAACTAGCCGATGACTTGATATTTTTTTACAACATAGCTGTTGAATGGGAGATTGTTATTATATACTTTTCATTACGAAGTTGTAATTGAAAAGAAAGAAAAGCCACAGCGATGTGTGACCGGTTTTCGCTAGTTTTATATAAATAAATACTTCTAGCTTTCTGAAATAAGACAAGAAAACCGGATAAATTTCGGAATTTCCTTTTATTTGCTTGTTTTTCTTATGTTAAGTTATAGTTCACCATTATAGTCTAGGTATAGTCCATCACGCGACCCCACTACGTATTTTAAATAGGTAATAAATATTTAATATTTATTTATTGTTTCTAAAATATGAAGTTGTCCACACGGTGTTTTCCTTCACCGCTGAGCACGTGATAAGTGAGCACCTAAACTTAATAATTTCATTGGTGCCGGCACCGGAATTTGTACTCGGGTTGCCCGAGTATTGAATTAAAAGCGAGCTACCGGACGCTGAGTTCGCATAGCTCAAATGTAGTTGTGGCAAATTTCTTCAAACCAAATTATAACAATAAGTGTAACCATCATCATAGTAACAATAAGAATTAATTATCAAATTCGGGTCGGGCTCTGAGGAGTTGTTCGGTTAATACCTACTGCTGAATTTTGCCACGAAATTTTGATGACTCGGTGGCGCCGTTGCTAAGCTATTGGCTTTGCGTCGGGGGTCGTGGGTTCGATTCCCACACAAGACTACTATTTAGAGTACCTACAGTGACCTACAGACAATTGTTCCGGATCGGGGTGCTTGTTACCCAAGGAGGGTTGACGGCCGGTCGTAAAAATATTGTTATATTAATTTAAATATATTTAAATAATATTATTCACCTGTTGTGCCGACCCAGGTGGGATAAGGGCAGGAGGATGATGACGATGAATTTTGCGTCCATATGACGGGTCAAACTACCAAATACCATTGCTACCACCTTGAAGGTTGGCAGTCCACGTATATTTCTGCCACGCACAACCAAGTTGTGAACTCAGTTGTCGTCAGCGGTATTTCTGGACCGATACGACTTAGGGACCTTCGAAAAGAGAGGCTATTTATTCCTCGAAAGGCCGGCAACGCATTTGTGACACCTCTGATGTTGTAAGTGTCTATGGGCGGCCGTGAAAACTTACCACGGCTCGCCTGCTTGTTTGTCTCCTTTTCCATAAAAAAATACACTATTGGTTATTCTCAGGCGTATATAGGTGATAAAGTGTGCAACCTATGGATGTGACTGAGTCGAGGATGCTTAAAAGAAAACGCTATGTTGGTTTTGCACAAGGCTATCTCTATGTGAATAGAGCAAATTTAGATTTGGCGTTTATTTTTTGTCATTACTTGAAACTACAAGTGCAAGCTTTGCAAGTGATACCCTAACGCTTCCGCGTAATCTCACACAAAGTATCTCTCAAAAAACAATATTCTCTTCATTAAATGGCTCAGATAATATTTTGGAATTTTAAAATATGCCACTTGGAAGGTGTCTTGATGTAATCATTACTTTATCATTGTTTATTATTTGTCTTCAGATAAGATATCGTATACAATTATTATTTTCTTAAAACTATATTCACAATCCAATAAAACAAATTTTGTTTCAAATACACTTTAATGAATTAAAACAAACTTATGTGGAACAATCACAATTATGCTTCGCAAAACAATATTGATGTCAAAAAGATTTATTCTCATACTTTATAAAGTTTAATTTGATATACAACAACTTATGCCTTAACATTAGGGCAAAGATACACTACCTATCAGGAAAGACAAGCAATAGGTAATTAATATTACATCAAACATGGAGGCCACAGATGCGTTAAAGATAACGCATTGTATACAAATATTTGAATTAAATACATATACATAGGTATAATTTAACTCTTATACAATAGATAGCGGATGCTTTAGAGAGAATTTGGTCGCAGATATACTATTCTATTTATGGATAGAACAAGAGATAACTTGAATTTAGACTTATATTGCATATAAAACCTAAACCTTATACAATAAATATACTTCTAGGTGGGATTTATCATTCATAATTACGATACGTTACGAGATTTTTTTATAATAAATCTAACATGGAATCACTAAATGCTAATTTGTGACAAAATACTGAAAACTTCTAAGCCAATAACTAAACTGATGATTTGATGACAACAGCCTATCCGTAGTGTGAACAACTTACATCGTATGCTCATACAAAAATATCATCCATTTTTACACTTCCACAGAACATTGCTAAGCATTATAATATAATTATTGTTACTTTACCAAATCCTACTCAATGTTTTGCCGATAAAACAGATCATTTGGCTTAGCGCAAATTTTGACAGAAATGTTGCAAATTTATAATTTTTAGAATACAGCTTTGGCAGTAAAGTATAGTAAAGTATAGCTTGAAAATATCGTCAATACATTTAATTTACAATGTAAACTTATCGTAAGTGAAAGTTTTAAATAAAAACAAAATAAATATCATTAACGCTAAAAGCTTTAAAAATAGTAATATCTTTTAATTCTGGATTTAAACTCTTGCAACTTAAAACTAAATATAACAAATAAAAAGTAAACTGGACCTACAATTGGAGGTACTAGATCTAGAGGTTCGCTTGGGTAGTAAATTATTTGTTGCTGTGCTAAACTTGATTTGAGAATTTAATTTTTAAATGGATTTTGGTAAAGAGGCATTCGAAATGTCGTTCGTTAGGGATTAGTTTTAAATTAGAAAATTTCCATATAATTAAAGCATTATATCTCAACTACATTCTGATATACTTTTTATGTTACAGTTCTTTTGATAGACCAATATTCTTGCAGTATACTTTATCATACAGCAGGTGTTGAATGTTTTATGGACAAATACAATTATAGATAACACTTTTTATCTTTTAAACATAAGTTTAATATTGGTTTAGAAATGTTACACTTTGATATTTTCATTTTCTGACAAATATATGTATATTCACACCTGATAAATATATAGATAAGGGATCATAACTAGTGTATTTATGTCTGTATGATTAGATTTTTTGTATTGGTAACAGCGACATTCCTCCACGATTCTGACCAACTTTAACATTGTGACGTTTAGATGTCATGCCGTCGCTCTGCGACTTATGTGATTCTCTTAACTATATACAAAATTTATATACATTCATCTGTTCAATTTTGGCTCAACATTTTACACATTGGAATGAAATTATTTAAAAGGAATGTCTAGAAAACAAAAAAAATAATTGTCTATATACAAAACCACCCAAGTAGGGTGCACATATAGGTTTATCTCATAAAATAAAATAACAGCGTTAAGCTTTAATGTCGTTACTACATTATAAACTTCAAAGCAACTATTTCATGACCATTTTGTTTCTTTAACCATATACAACAAATACTGTGTCCAGTAAATTCCCGCATTTAAAGCAGAAGCGCAAAAACAGGAATAAATAACAAGAGGCAAATTATTTGTGTGGTCGCTAAATTGTTTGGTTTACTGCCCAAGCCACCAACTACAGACCGATTTATATTATCCTCCTTGGCTGAACCGGTTTTTACCAAACCTTCACTACTATCTCCTAACATATCATTACTATCAATTTCGGCCGAATTCGGTTTCTTCATGGGACTGGCTATATCGTTCTCTTCCGGTGCTGGTGGAGCTGTCTGCGGTGGCAGTGTAGTTGTGGTAGTAGTAGTTGTTGTGGTAGTCGTTGTCGTGGTCGGTACTAATGTGTTATTGGCCACGTAGTATATCTCACCGTATATTGCCTCGACCTCTACGGTGTTTTCAATTCTTTCGCCTCTCATAGGCCGTGATCGAGAATCATTTTCTTTGTAGAAGGTTATCAGTTTGCCAGTGTATTGGACATCTTTATTTGTGTAGTTACCTCTGAAAGTGACATTGCATGCTGTTCCAGGCTCAAGGTATTTTTCCAATTTGTATAGTTCCTTTCTTACTTCGGTGTACGGGTTTGCCCATTCAATCTGAGGGAGTACTGATCCATCACCCAACACTATAGTGGTATTCAAGCCAATGGCAATTCCGTGGCCATGGCCCCAAGACAAACTATAATTATATTTATACTCTATTTCAGTAGTGACCGTGGCAGCAGTTTCGTCATCGTTTCGTAAGATACGCTCCTCCAATACTTCTGGGTCGGTCTGACGTATATGTTCAGTTTCCGGGTCCATATGAACATTTTCAATTTTGTAACTGATTGGTTCAATTTCTACAAGTATTTCTCCGCTGTTTTCTACAACTTCATTATTCTTGTCATCGAAAGTGATCAAATGACCGATGTTGCTTTCATAGTTAATCTTTCCGATGTAATGTGAATACTCACCATCTACTTTCATTCGACCAATGAAAACTGAGTCAAGGGAAGAGTCGATAGTAACAGCGCCACTAGGCCTGGAATGATATTTGAGCCATGGCTTCCATATCAGCAGTGATGCGTTCTCAATATTTTCGAGCACATCGAATATTTCATAACTTTTAGATCCTGCGACTGCGCATTTGTAATCGGACCTTAATTGACCAAGGAGCATGTCGCCTTCGTGACGTGTTCGGCAAAGGTAAGTTGGTCCTGAAACAAGTCGTCCGTTAATATTCAAGTCGGCCTTTGAAAAATAAACACGTTCAGAGACTGAAAATTTCTAACCAAAAATCCATTTTTAATATTAATTTTTAAAAACTCAAGACTAAAGCAAAATTACGATTTTATATATTATATATATACGTGGTGTTCTTCACGAAAGGTAAAACATTAATGGTTTTTTTTAAGACTTTAATGAACTTCTACGTATTTCGTTACACTACTTCATGATTATTGATTCTTTAAGTAATGCTGTTCTTCCTCTACAAAATTTCATAACGTAATTAATTTTATTTAAGAATACTATTAAGCTTTATCGAAAGTGGTAAAAAAACTGTACTTTAGCAAATTTCCTTCTTTGAAATCGTTTGTTACCTTCGGGAGAGTTGGCACCAATAACGAGGTTTTCCATGGCTTCTTTCTTCAAAGATGTCCATTTGAGTGTGCTAGAGGTAACGATTTGCTTCAACTTCGCATTGAAGAGACTAACACCTGCGTCAGCCTGCGTGTGAGCAAGTAGCATTACCCCTATTAGCAACATCCACCATCCTCTTGCGTAGCTTCGTATCTCCTTCATGTTTTGTACCTGTAATTAAAGCTTACAATTTGATATTTGTTTACAAGTTTTAGTTATCATAACATTTATGTCAACGTTACTTTATAAATTGTAGGCTTTTAATAACACATTTTATCTTCTGTAGCATTTTGAAATGAACATTGAACAATAACGAATAAAATATATGTGGGTATTGTTGTCAACTGAATTTTCTACGTTCCGTGTGTTATCTTCGTCGCCCCCCAGTAATAAATTTCACGTTAACTCCGCCATTTTATCTTTCGGAGTACATTAAGGGGGCCTTTGGCCTCATCAAATACACGGCGTCTAAATTGGTGCTGAGAGTACTCACACTATAAAAATCATCATCAAATAGGAATTATTTGATGCTTTTAGCGTAAAGTATAAATACACAAAATAAATATATATTGTATCAAACACAAAGTTATAGTTCAAATGTTGAAGAAATCAAAAGTAACAATGTTAAAGAAATCAGCTGTGGCGCGCTTCCCCCTCAAATTCGATTTCCTCTACGAAGTTATCCAAGCTTATTTTAACTCCGCGATAAATTGAAGTCTTTTGGTGTGACTTTGTATTACATCTTTTTAAATTTAGTCTTAGGAATTGAATTTTGTTACGAACGAAAAAAATAACGCGAATAAAATCATTTATCGATTGTTAGCATTGAATATATATATAGCTTAATTATATCTCTTAGAGATGTTAACTAATCAAGGGAAGATATATAAAAATGTCGCGTGATATTTCATTCGTAGAAAATCTGCACTTATATGGTGGGTCAAATACAGAACGTTGGCGCCAGAAGCAATCGATTTAATTGGTACACTTGTATGATTGTATCATGTTCCAATTAATAATGCCTTTCAGAGTTACCATTGTACGGAAATATAAACACGTCTGATGCAAATGCCAATACATTTCCAATTTTGCATTTAAATAAGAGGATAAAGAATTTTCAATTATATGAAACGCAAACACATCACTGCTAAAGATATTTTCATGTAATCTAAGTTATAATAATCAATGCATGTACCTCATCAAATCTAAGTCGATGTTGGCCTTGTCAATAATTCGTAAACTTGAAACGTGTTGCGATATATGTTAGATTATAATACCCCGCCGTCTTTAGACGATTGACAGCAACAGGTTTTGAACAAAGCCATTTAATTTATGTATGACAAATGCCTGTCAATTTGTACGCAAGACCCTGATTAAGACTCCTTTATATTCTATGAAAGTACTCTCATCTGACAAATCTTTTGATACCACTCGAACGAAATTTGTTCTCAATGGGCTTGGTTCTCTTTTCTCTGAGTTTCCCCGTTGTATATAAACTTTGGTATTAGGAAACATGTTATCATGTATATGTAGCCTAATTAAATTGCAAATTTGCTTCTTAGAGTACTCATAAATTTCGATTACTTCTTTTTATTCTACGATCTTAATGCGAATATCTGTTTCAGTAATTTAAAATAATGCCTGCCTTGAATTTAATGTAACATAACGCTGCCTGATCACCTCCATCTATAAACATTTTAATTGCTCTACGACCATGGCTTCATTATAAGTATTTTTAACCGACTTCAAAATATGAGTAGGATCTCAATTCCATTCTAATTTCTTTATTTTATGTTTGTTAGCTCAAAACTCCGTCTTAGATGAATCAATTTAAAATAATTATTTTTATATTGGGTTCGGTTTAGCTCTCATATGTTCCCATATTCATTTCATTGATAATAAATTTTATCGATCTTGGTTTAAAATGTGTACTGAGTGAAATATTTGAAGCGTTTTGTTTTATGGTACTAAAGGTTTTACTTGTTACAATCCAAAATTGTTTTGAATATCCCAAATTAATATTTTTTTTTATGTGGATGTTAAGATATCTCCAGATTTTCTAGCACACTATAATTTTGTATAATTGTGTAAAACGCGCTGTGCATAAGAAAAAATGTTAACGGTCATGATACATTAGCAGTTTTTACTGTGCTCTGTGTATTTAATTGTAATTTGTAAGAATCTCATCTAGCTAATGTCTGGTTGAGTAAAATAAAAGCAAATATCGTATCTATTTCGAGTGCCTCGTAATAAATCATCGTTAATGCTAATGGAGTAAATTAAATTTAAAAAGTTCAATTGGGGATTGACTCGGCCTACATACTTGCCCCAACAAATCTCGTCGGCACATACGTTTGTTGTTCGATTAGACGGCAATATTTTAGTTTGGGAGATAATCTGACTCAGCTTCACGGAGAACATCCACAGTGGGCCCATTGAGTTTCACGACTATTTTAATAACGGCCTTTTCATTATGTCGCAGTTGGTATAAACTAAACGGTTGTTTTTACAATTCGTGACGTCACGCCTGCGGGTCGCAGAGGCCTATGTCATAGGTTATCGTGACATTGAAATATGCCGTTTTAATATCACTTTTATAACCTGTGCACCTTTATATATTTGATGAATGTAAAACGTCTATTATGTACATAATGGTCCCGAATGAATTAGTAAGTACATATATAATATATTATCCTCTATGTATCGTTGAGGCTTTTTTTATAACGAAACCGGTTTCGTCGAATCGCGTACGCAAACAGAGTCTACATCCTCGGTATGCATTAGTAATTTCGATTTTCCGCCCTCACGAATTCCTTCCGAAACAATAGGTTCCCGGCGCGCACTTGTCTAGCCCTCGATGTGGGGAAGGGGGACGCCGCTCTCGACAAAACGGGGATACCTCTCGTCTGACTTTCCTCACTTGTTCCCATCGTATCGCCCATTCAACTGAAACACAGTCCCACGTATGTACTAATAAATGTTTGTGGTGACGGATAACTTAATGGAACAGCACGGGGGATTTCATTGTTGAGGTGGCTTTGTTTGAACACGGATGTGAGCGCGCCTTTGCGAATTTAGGCATGTTATTGTAATATGCGTAATGCGTCGGGTATGTTAATGCGGCGATTTTTTTTTATATGACAAGGTGCCAAGGTAGCTGGCTGTTCACTTGGTGTTAAGTGATATCCGCCGCCCATGGACATTTGCAACACCCGTAGGGTTGCAGATGGGCTGCCACCTTAGAATAAAGAGGGCTGCGACCACCTCAGTCATCAGACGAAACGAGGAAGTATAAGAAACATTTCCAATTCAACGCGGTCTTCTGTAAGGTTGTGATACTTCACCGGACGGACTTTACGTGGCCCTACCACAATTAAAAATACTTTGATCGATAATGTTAAAATTCTTGAAAAACAGGAGTTTACGTTGGAGAAAATACAGATCTTTTGTTCGTTACATTGTTACGTAGTTGTTATTTGTTACTTATAAATATATGTTGTATATGTTGTAGTTTCTAGTAGTTTTTTTGTTGTCAAAGATCCAAAAAAAGTCTCTGCCGGCATCTGAGCTGTAGGATGTATAAGGATAAATATCATCAATAATAGTAAAATTATCTACAAATGTCACTTTATTTTTGACTTAGAGAAGACTTCACAAATAATATAAAAAAATAATAACTTAAAATTTGAGTAATTTTAATTATTCAATAGCGATTGATGATAAAAATTAAAATCTAATTCTTATCCTTTAAACGAGCAATTCTTGTATATATATAATCGGAATCTCGGAAACGGCTCCAGCGATTTTCATGAAATTTTGTATGTGCGTAGATTGGGGGGCGAAAAATCGATCTAGCTAAGTTTCATTTTTAGAAAATGTCCTTTTATCCCTGTTTTCAGGGAATGAAAAATATCATTCGAATATGACGGTAAATTTCACCGCAAAAAAAATGTTATAATAGCTCGGTCAGTAATCGGGCGGCCCCAAAACAGACGGCCGTGGTTCGTGTCACGATCATTTACACACTCTTTTTTTTACTTTTTTTTTTCGATTCTAGATCATTGCTTTCTTTATTTTTTATTTTTTGTTGATCCAGATGATTTTTTTTCTCTTTTTCTTTTACAGTTGTTTCTTTTGTGAAAAACACCACTTCATATTTTCTTATTATTAGGTCGGTAAGAGCGAAAAATATTATGCATATTTCATTATTTAGTAATTTGTGTCTAAATGTAATTGCCAAAATACACGATTTACAATTAAAAACAAGGTCCTCTAGGTACTGCTTCATTAAGTAAGTAGGGACATGGTAATATTAGGAACTATTTAGTTCTTGATAAATCCGAAAATAGATTTATAAAGTTGTCTGCTTCATAAGAATGTGATTCTGTTTACGTTTGTGATCTCGCCTGTGCTAGCGTAAATAAACATAACATGTATGAATGTAGGCGTATAGGCCGACTAGGATGGTGTTTGTATGCGCGCCGTTATAAACAGATAAACTCTTGACATTTGAAGGGCTTTTTATAGGTACCTGAGCCGCTTGTTAAGTTGGCATTAATTGATGCCGTACGTATAGAGGTATCTGTATGCATATATGTAACCTTTTGAAGTGTCGGTTAAGTTATTTATAGTTTTTAAGAGAGCGTTAAAAGCGCGAGTCATGAAACATAAAAAATATATTCAGACTTTGTAACTTTTGGCATTATTAAAACTTTAATCCAAACAAGTTAAATGCAATACCACTTTGTAAGAACATTACAAAATAATTATATCATTATTGAATAAATAATTGATTAAATATTTCTATATAGATAATAATTCTCGAGGAAGAAATGATTTATTGCTTTCGAAATAAATTATATCTTCCTGCTCGATGTCAAAGTTAATGACATCTTTTTATCAATACGACCTTTTCATGAGCGCAGATTATGTCATCCAGTTTAATAAGTGGCGAAAGGAGCACGCGTAATAAAAAAAAATACATTCAGTCAAAGAGGCCAAGTTCATTTGAAACTCGTTTATAACTTGAGAATTCTTTTAACATGTTGTTATTCTAAAATTTCAATTTCATACGCACGCATGTACCAACAATAATAGATAATTATTATATATTATATAAATAAATCCTGATAACTTTCAACTTCAATTTTATGCAAATTTTATAAACAACT